CTCTCCCTCCCTCTCTCTCTCCCCATTTCCCTGTCTCATCGTGTTTTTATTTGATTTTGTTATTTTAACAATTAAAAACACAACACAGTTTGCCCGAGCAGCCTGCCAAATATGGCACAATTGCAACACAACAAATTCATTTACTCTATTTCTGTGTCTCTTTCCCCACCCCCTCCCCCTACACACAACTCTTCCACCAACAACAAACATAACCAAATTGTGAGGCAATAAAATGTCAACAGCAAATATTATTAATATTCAATAAGAAAACCAAAGATGAGGCATCATTAATAACAGAGCACAACCCAGAGAGAGAGAGCGCAAGCAAGCAAAGTGTCTGTTCAAATGAGATAAGAGGGAAATCATCTGCCATGCACAAACAACAATGTCAGAAAATGTCACCGCCTAATATAATGGGCACACAGGTGTAATAATATTTATTGAAATGAGAGCAGCCTTCAGTCATACAACCAAAAAAGAAAGAAAAAACAACTACAAAAACACCAACTACTCAACATAAATAAACATGATTATTTTTTTAACAAAATACCATATTGTAGTTGTTGTTTTTGTAATTATTAGATATCTCCTCACATTGCAAAACTCACCTTCTTTTTTTATTGTTATTGGAATTTCTATCCTTTCTTACTGGATTCGTTCGTTTGCTGGCTAACTGGCTGGCTAGGTTGTTTTGGTCGTTTGTCGTCTGGATCTTTCTCTCTTTTTGCGGCCAGGCCTTTTTCTTGTTGTTGTTATTGTGGTATTTTTCTTGTTCACTCGTTGGATGTTGTTTTGTTTGTATTTAATATTTTTCTTTGCTTAACACTTTGCACTGGCTTTGCTATCTTCTTGGATACACTTCTTATTACTTCTTTCTTATAGGTGGCTGCTGCTGCCTGGGTTTGCTCAACATGAAAGAAGATAGAGAGAAGACGAAACACAAAAAATAATAAAAATCACAACACACACTCGTTTACTACGAACTTTTATTTTGCCTTTTATTTGTTTCAGCAATATTTTTGTTTTATTTCTTTTTTCCTTCTATTTCGTTTGATTTTTTTTCTTTATTTGTTTCTCAAAATATTTTTCATCATCTTGTCGACGAACACATTAAAACGCATATTTGACAACATACATATACATATATGTACCGCACACACAGCCACACAATCTCTCGTACACTTTACACAATTTTTTCCATCATATTACACACAGAGACATAACAAAAATTCCTGCTTTTTTCGCATTTCTTTTTCACTTGATATTCGTCGTTTTTTTTCTTCTCTTCAATTTCAAATAAGCCACTTTTCATAAATTTCCCATTGTTTTACGGTTAAAAGTATTTGCCTAAACCATTCTCTGGCCACAGCACTTTCGTTTAGTGCATAATTTTGTTGCAAATTTGTTTGTTTTGTATGCTTATTTTTCTACTTTTTTTTTGTATAAATATTCCGTCTTTCAGTTCCGTCGTTTTGTCGTTCGCACACACAGAAAAAAATTTCGTCTCTTTTTGGTGCAGGGATTTGTTGATCGACTATCGTTTAATCGATTTATCGATTTGTTGTGTTGCGAACATTACCACAGGTAGGAACAAAAAAGTACGAAAAGGTTCCTAAAATTCTACAAATGATAATAAATCATATTTATCGAGAAACATTGGCCAATATTTAGACCAGTTATTTGCATAAATAATATATGTTATAATTTAAGCGTAAATGTATTCACAAATAATAAAAAAATCTACTTTTTGTTTTGGTACGTTTATATCATTTCGTACCTTTTGTGAACAAAAAGTACGCTTATTACAAAATTAAAAAATAGCGCAACTCTAATTACTCTCTCAAGAGAGAGAAACTCTCAACACCGATCCCGATCCCGACAAATATAAAACCACGCGAAGAGGAGAAAATCGAAATGTCGTTTTTTAGGCTAGGGTTATGTAGATCGACTTTTGGCCATTTAATAGCAAAAGGAGAAAAAAATCGAATTTTTAGTTGCTATATCGATTTATGTCTATTAAAAAAATAGAAATGACGTTAAATTCGAACGGTTTTTTTTGTTCACCGAAATAAGGCGAAACACAGTGGGAATAAAGTAAAAGTCGTTGGGATTTACACATGCAACTTTTGTAAGCAGTTGAATGTGTAAACTCTTGGGGAAATAAAGAGAGATGAGAAACTTACAGAAAGATATAAGAAGGTAAGATTGGAATAATGTCGATGGCTATAAATATCAGACAGAAGATATATTACGTGTCAAGGTTGTACTTTCCCAACCACTTTAGGTTTATAATTATTCTGTAGATTAGAGCATTTTCGGTTGTTGAGAAGAAGATAAGACTCGTTGGAAAATGAGCACCCACTTGTCTGTGGCGCTGGAAAGTGACACAGAAGATGCTCAATTGTCTCCTCTTCATCAACGCAGAGTCTACAGTAATCAATTGCATCAAGATCCCATTTACTAGTAAAGGCCCTGATAGTACAATGACCAGTAATGTTCCTGTCATTACTCTTATTTCAGCTTTGCTCAGGTTCTACAGTGTGTGCGTTCTTTTGGCAGACAGAGTCGGCCAAATGGATCTTAACACTTTTCACCTAGGTTCGTTGTGCCAAAGTTCATAGGCTCTTTCGTCGAAGAACGCCTCAAAGTTCCGGTAAAGATGACATATGGGTAGTTTGATTGAGTCATCAATTGCTAGATCTGTGAATTGAGATCCTCGTCTAGCTAGTTAGTCTGCTCTTTCATTACCCAAGATGTCACGGTGTCCTGGTACCCAACACAGCCGATAGCTGTAAGTAAGTTCTTCCAAAGCTGTTCTACACTTGAGGACGGCCTCAGATTTGATATAACAAGATTTGATGGCTTTAAGAGCCGCTTGACTATCCACGAAGATAGTCACCGGTTCAACGATCTCTACATCTGGACTTTTTATCAATTTCTCTGCCTTCCAAATCGCGAAGATTTCAGCTTGGAAAACACTACAGTTGCAATCCAGCTTGTAGGTTAACTCAAGGCCTAGCCTTACACAGTAGGCGACCGCCCCTGTACCTTCTTCCATCTTTTGATCCGTCTGTATGGAATGCCAGACCGTCCAGGGTTACTTCGGTTCCAGTCGTCTCTACTAGGAATAACGACATCTACATCGTCAAATCTCAGGATGGTGATATATAGTCGCTTAGTTTTACGCGTTTGTCCAATGCCATACCTGGCTCGTTCAAGATACGACCATGCCCAAAGGTACAACTTCACCAGAGGTTTTGCTCATACAGCCTTAGGGCGCTACTCACTGCCTGAAACTTAATTCTGAGGCCCAGAGGCCTAAAATTCAGCATTGCGTTCAGATCTGCTTGTGGCGTACTCCTCCTGGCTCCTGTAATTAAAATCGAGGCGGTTCTTTGTACCTTATCTAACTTACTGGATGTCGACCTGTGGCGCAGACAGTTCCACCACACAAGAAAACCATATGATAGGATGGGCCTTACCACGGTGTTATACAACCAGTGTTTAGTAGATGGTTTTATCTCCCAGCTTTTCCCAATGGAATTCTTGCATGCATAGAGTGCAATAAGCCCTCTCTTCGCAGGTTCCTCAGCGCTCCTATTCCATCGTAGTTGACAGTCCAGGATTGTGCCGAGGTACTTTGCTTCGGGAGATAGATGAAGTTGCACTCCATCCAGTGTTGGTGGAGCAAAAACGCCGAGCTTACGCATCCTAGTGAACATTACCAGTTCCGTCTTTGTTGGATTTCCACCAAGGCCGTTCGCCCTGGCCCAACGCGACAGCGTCAGTAAGGCTCTTAATTACCAATAGGCATAGCAACGGCCCAGTCCCGCCCAATCTTCGTTACTTTTCGGGGGTTAGCAGCATTTTCCAAATGAAAAGCCACAAATTTGGCATTTTAGTGTATATTGGAAAGTTTATAGGGGTATGAGGACTTGTACTGATACATTGATGCAGAAACAGAAGGACCTTTCTCCTAACTAAAATATGAAAATATATGCAACTGAAGTCTACACCAATCGATATTGCATTGAAACGAAACATTTGAAAGACCAGTGCATCAAATCGGCATATTTACTTAAAATCAAAAAAAAAAGCTCCAGGAATTGTAAATAGTCGCAGTAAAAAAGTTTCCGGACTTATTGTGGTTAATATATATAAAAAATATCCTCCTTGTCGTTCTATATTAAATCCCTTTCTCAATTTGAGAAATATACAATATAACGAAAAATACCAATTACCTTTTTATTATGTCATGGAAAAAATTATTGGTCTGTTCCGGAACCTGCAAGAATGTACAATTTTTTACTACAATAAAATTTGTTTCTTTATTACATCGAAGAAAATAGTAACAAGTGAAAAAGCGTTATGTTCGGTCGGGCCAAACTTTGGATACCCTCTACCATAGATATACTGACAGATATTTGAAATGAAAATATAGTCAACATTTTTAATGAAAACCCCAAAGCGTGGACTGATACTAACTAATAACGCATGGTGGAATATACAATCCTCAAAATTCTGCAAGGATTGTATATTAATGACCAACATATGTCATATATATATATATATATATATATGACCAACATATGTCAATTTTGAACCCAATATTTTTGTTTTGTGTCTCAATTCTTTCCTTCGGGAGGTATAATTATATGGGGGAGGTGCCTAAATGCTGGACGATATATTTCATTGTCGTCAGGTTCGAGCTTATTTTTAATACGATTTCCTTAGAAAGCGGAATGATTACAACCGATGGCTAAATCGTCTTAGAATTCCATAATTTGTAGGGTAAAACTGACTATTTCTAGTAACGACTATCCCCTACTATGGTAGAATACGCCTATATCGACGCCTCCGAACCATAGTATGCTAAGTCTGAAATGTGAGTTTTTCAGTAAAAGCTTTCAAAGTATGGATGTTTTTTTTTTATCGTACGTGCCATGCGATTAAAGTCGACTTAGGATACTATGGTTCGGAGGCGTCGATATGGGGACAACTCCTAAACACGGAACTAATCAGCTAACTATTTTAATATAAGAAGGGAGTTATATGGGAACTACCCCTAAAAGGTGGCGAATATTAATAATTTTTCGTAGGACGATTTGTTACCTATGCGACTAGCAAATTACACGAATTCGGTTGAAAAACGCGCTTAAGAACCCCAAATGGTCCTATATTTATAATTTTTAGTGGAGAAATATCGTACCCAATAAGAACTCATTGTACCAAATTTCAGCGAATTCGGTCTAAAAGCGCGCTTAAAAAAATCAAAATACATATCGTAAATTGGGGGTACCGTTCTATAGGGGTCACCAGAAAATATATTATTTATTTATATTTATAATATCGGTCCCCAAAACACCGAAAATGGGTCGGTACCCTTATATGGGGTCTATGCCTAAACGTCGTCCGATATAGCACATCTTCGAACTTGATTTTCCTGCAGAAAAAAGACAGTTCTATGCAAAATTTCAGAAGATAGCGTGATTACAACAGATGGACGGACATGGCTAGATCGTCTTAGAATTTTACCCTGATCAAGAATATATATATATATATACTTTATAGGGTCGGAAATGAATATTTCGATGTGTTACAAACGTAATGACAAAATTAATATACCCTCCATACTACCATCCATAAAAATTAGTAAATTTTTGAGTTCGGGAACAGACCATATAAAGGGAACAATCGAAAATTTGTATACGGTTAATTGAAGTTTCTTGCATATTGAGAAACAAATCACATAATTTTCGGAGTTTCGCGTGGCCAATAATCATAAACTACACGAACACGGTTCCGGCGATGCCAACTACTCACCTAAACTCGTGTGGACAACGACAAAACTGGTAAATTATTTATCTACAAACATCCAGAGCCATCTAGTGATGCATAGATAATATTATTTATGTTTGTTATTTCATTCTCTGAATTTATCTACGCAAATAATCATCAACTCAATAGTCACCTGGTGCCGTATAGCAACACACACACACACACAATTATTATAGAAATCTAATCTTTGCACCACTCTGCTGGTAAATCTTCCACGGTGGGATGAAGTAGTGTTTGTGTCTAGAGTAGTTATCAACCAACTCCGTCAAATGTATGTATGTTCCAGGCAATTCTAAAGTTAAATTTCCTTTCCTTTCAGAATTTATGCAGATTTCTTGGAAAATAATCGGAAGAAATGTTAGAGAATCTTCGATAAAATTCTGACATCAGAGTCCTCTTCAAAAATTTTTATCAGGGAGAGGAGATAGGGTCTGCTGCACTTCCCACCTCCATGTTGGTTATTAATTTTATACCACGTTACGTTGTTTACTAACTGACTCCTAAAGCACTGTTCACTGTTGTGGTTGGCAACACTCACTCCATTATCTCTCATTTCATTTTCTTTCACTTTCGTAAATAAACGATTGCTCACGATTGGCTACACCAGTCGTTGATATTTTGCAAAAGGGTCCGCACGACACACGTGCATTCCAATAGAAGAATTATTTTTCCAGTTAAAAAAATAACAGAACCATGCGGAACTTAAAGTTAAAATATTGCCAATCCTACGGGGACACCGTCAAGCAACCACAAATTCTTTTGGTCAATCCCAATTCACAGAAATTTGCCAATGAAGTTCGTTATGCCGTAACGGAGAGTCAATTGTTTTCATTTGTTGCCGGAGGGGGAGAAGAACCCAAAGTATTGGCCGAAGTTCCAGATATTGTGGCTGCCGAATATTTAGCTTTGGATAATGAAATATGTTTGGCCACCCGAGGTGGCGAAGTGTTGCTGGTGAATCCGGAAACCCTGCAAATGAACGAGGGTACCTTCTGTGATGTTGGTATCGAATGTATGGCATGGAGTCCCGATCAAGAAGTTGTTGTTTTTGTTACCAAAGAACATAATGTTGTTGTTATGACCTGTACATATGATCCATTGACAGAGCATCCATTGTGTGATGATCAGGCTGAGGCAGAGGGTGGGTTTGTCAATGTGGGTTGGGGTAAAAAGGAGACACAATTTCATGGTTCCGAGGGTAAGGAGGCGGCAAAGAGGAAACAGGAGGTCGAGACGCCGGTCAATTTGGAGGAAATTAATAAGGTAAGTATTTAAGCAGAGGAGAAGAAATTGGTTTTTAGTTTCGGATTCGGATAGGTTTGAAATTTTAGCCAAGTGGATTGGTGAATGAGATATATGTTGTCGGGACGTGTGGACTTTTCTGGTAGAATATATATTGAAATAATCTGATCAATCTGCGGTCGATGTTCATAAAAGGGCCGGGTGCGGATCGCTTTGAAATTGTTACCATAGGCTCCGTATAATGGATCCGAACTAAAAAAAAAATATTTGTGGGGTCCACGTTTTAACATAGTTCCTACAAAAGGCCCCCGACTGATTGGAGGCCCTTAGAAGGTCCGATTTCTGCAAAACTAAAAAAACCTCTTTGTGGGGTCCATGTTTTAACATAGTTCCTAAAAAAGGTCCCCGACCGTTTTTATGCCCTTAGAACGACCTAGAGGTCCTACATTTTTGCAAATTCGATTTCTTCAAAACTAAAAAAAAAACTCTTTGTGGGGTCCATGTTTTAACATAGTTCCTGTAAAAGGTCCCCGACGGATTTTAGGCACTTAGAAGGTCGATTTCTCCAAAACTAAAAAAAAACTTCGAAAGGTTTTCTATGTAGTTCCATGTTTTTTTAATAGGCCCAATCTTAGAATTCCGCCTATTTTCGTTAAGATGAGGATTCTAGTCAAATTTTCGAAACTAAATTTCAGTAATTTGAACATAGTTTTCCCAAAAATACTCCTGACAACTAAGTTTAAAAAAAATCCGATCCGAATTCGGCATTTAAAGACCCTGGTCCATTTATCGACCGAAGTTGCTGAGATTTGGGGTATTTTGGGTTTTACTCGCAGAATATTTTTTAATATGGTTTAATGTTTTACAATAGGTCCCAATATAAAGGTTCCAATCCGTTTTTTTTTTTTTGATATTTCAAGTTCCTAGCCTCATTGTCCAAAACAAAGTTGATCAAAAAACCTCACGTAAGATAGACCTACACTGAAGATCGATGTTTTCCAATATACCCGAAATAAACGGGACCTTTACCTCATGTAAAGGCAAATTCGGAAAATTCTATGTTCCAGCTGTATTTTTTTAAACGCAGTAGCTGCAATTTGATATTTTGAATTTTTAAAGCCTAAAAATAGTTCCTGTTAAAAAGTTTTCAATGTAGGTCCATGTTTTGGAAAACTTGCCATATAGGGGTCCGCCGCGGTTTTAGGTTTCTAAAGGACCTGACCTTATTTTCCAATCGAAGTGGTTGTAATTTGACATTTCGGAGTCTCAAAAGGAGGAAAACATCTTTGGTGGAAATTTTCAATGAGGGACCTAATTTTAAGATAGCCTCCATCAAAGGATCCGCAACCGTTTTAGATGTATTGAAGACTCTAGCTTCATATTCCTAACGAAGTATCTGTAATTTGACATTTCAGTTTTTAACAGTCGTCGGAATTTATTTTTGGTAGGTTCCTCATGGTGAGGGATACAAAATTTCGACCCGACCGACCTTATCGAAGTTGTTTTTAATATTTGTTATTCCTCTTTTTTTCCTTTGCAGGACATCATCATTAGCTGGCGTGCCGATGGTGCCTATTTTGTCGTCTCCTATGTTAGCCCCTCAAAGGGCCGCACTTTCAAAGTATTCGATAAAGAGGGCAAGCTGCAATTTATTGGTGAACAACAAGCCAATCTCTATAGTCCCACAGCCTGGAGGCCCTCCGGTAATTGGATTGCCATGCCTCAAAAATTGCCCAATAAAAGTACCATTGCCCTGTTTGAAAAGAATGGTTTGCGTCACAGAGAAATCCCTTTACCCTTTGATTTGCAGCAGACACCCATTGAAGAGTTAAAATGGAGCTCCGATTCAGAGATTCTTAGCATTCGAACGAAATCGAAAATCTATTTATATACCATTGGTAATTATCATTGGTATTTGAAACAGGTGTTGGATTTTAATGAAATCCATATGGAAGGAGAAGAAGACGATGAAGTCACATATTACACCTGGGACAGTCGCATTGGCGAAGAGAAAACTCTACACATTATTTTCAAAAGTGGCAGATATTTGATATACAAATGGTATTGGGCCATTGATCGTTTGAATCGCAGCGGTTTGGTGGCCGTAATTGATGGTAATCAATTGCTATTAAGTGATTTTTCGAAAGCTGTTATACCACCACCCATGTGTACCAAAACCTTGCAATTAGAATCCACAGCAGGAGATTCCTACATAACAACTGTAACCCTAACCCAGGCTCAAGATGAGGTACATTTGTGTATCTTGGATTCCAAGCATAAATTACATTATTACAAATCGCATATGTCAAATGTCACCGCATTCAGCAGCCAAGGTTGTTTGGAGTTGCAAGGTTCCGATATCGCACTCCCTCTACAATATGGAAACTTACAATGGTTTGAAAGTTTTGAAGATACCTATTTGGTGGCCAGTTTCTCGCAAAACAAAACAAGTCAAATACACTTCCTTGCTGTCGATCTTCCCGACAGTTATAAAATCACAGTTGCTGTGAAAATACCGGGAATAATTTCCTGTCTAATACCCTCGGGCAAAGAACAACCCTGCGAGTTATTTTATCAAACCTTGGATGATAATCGCATAACCCAATTGGTTTACGATGTCGATTCGAAACGGGAAACATCAAGTCGCCTTCACCTGGAGCTGCAACAAAATATCGATCAAATGGAAACCTTCATACAACCCAACGATGCTGAAACCCATACCATTTGCTTGAGCAATAATCAATGTTTATATGTTGATCAGGAACGTATTGCCACTGATGTCACCTCATTTTGTATGGCTGGAAATTATTTAACCTTTACCAAGCTGACTTCATTGCATTTTCTGCGATTGTCCGATATGCGTTTAGTTGATGAACGCCGCTTGGAACGTGGTGCCAAGCTCGTGACAACTGTTCTTAATTCTGCGCGAAC